ATGGTGAATTGCAGTGAGTGAGTGAATGTATACTTCTTTCATTGTGCCAGGCTACAACGCAACTGCAAAATCACAAAACACCAATACAAATTTCAAAAATAATAACAATAACATCAAAAAGCTATAACCAAAAGATTAACCCAAGTCCAACGCTGGGTTATAATCGGTTATAAGTGGTAAATACCAGAAGCAAATCAGCTGATATGTGACGTCACAACTTCCCCTACTTTGGTTGAAACCGCGACGGCGGAAATGCGTTGGTTATAACCAAATAATAATCATTCCAGGCTGAAAATCGCCTTTGAAATTCTTGACTTGACAGATGGCTAGAGAGAGAGGAGAGGGATGAGAGGGGGGTTCACGACACCCGGTTGTTAGAAATTAGTTAGTACAAATTATGTATTTTGAGTGAAAAATAAATGCTGTTTTGTTCGAAATAAGTTTACTTTATTTTATGGAAAAGTGACCAGCCAGTGCCCAACATTATAGGTAGTGCCACAGCCCCCTACATTTAACAAGCCATGAAGTTAAAAAGGCAACACCGCAATCTTACCGCCAAGTGGTGCTGGTGGTGTTTGTTTGTAGGTATAAATATATATTTTTTAATTTATTAATATGAATCACAAAAAATACATAATTTATTGTACTAAAGGGCCAAAAACAGTAATTCAATGAATAATTTAACTATTTGTGTAAATAAGAACAGTAAATAATTGATTTAAATGAATATATTTCTAGAGTCTAAAGTGTTATAGGCCTATGTTTCAGTATGTCTTTTGAAAATCTAACTTTTTCTTTCTTCGGGATTTTTTCGGAAGGCAAGTCCATTCAAATACTTGAGCTGATTTTCGAAAATAAGAGGTACCTACTTTTAAGAGTTGGACGTTTTAGTTTGAACTCTCGAACTACGCCTTTATCCTTGTTTGTTTCAAATCTAATTATTTCGGTTTCTTCAAAATGTTTACAACACACCACAGAATTTTTCGTTATTGTATAATCTCGGGTATAATTATCTTGATGTATTGCTTTCATCCACATTTTTTGCACTTCAGAATTTTTTTGGAAATAAAAATGTTTGCATTTCTTCAGTTTTTAAGGAACTCCTATAGTTCGATTTGCACCCAGGAACACAGTAGTTTCATGGCATCTGGAACAAGTTTAAATATCTTAGGTAATATATCGAGACCTATGCTCTTGCAGACAAATATTAATATTGTTTTTATTGTTTTACCTTACCTTACCTTCATTTTTGCTCCTGTACCCATTTGCTAAAAATTTGCAATCAAAGCACAAAGGAACAGGTATCAACTAAATATGGGCAATATATTGGTGTGTTTCTATCCACTTTTTCGTCAATAATGCCCATAAAAATACTAAATTGCAACAATACACAATGAAAGCAATACACAGAAACACATAACCCAATAACAAAATAGCACCATACGCGACGTTGCCGTCATTTCCAATTTCATGGCTTGTTAACTATAGGAGGCTGTGGTAGTGCATATATCACAGTTACAAACAACCTTTTAAAAACGTCTTATTCGAACTAATTTCCTGACGTGTGGACGTGGGATACATGTTTCCAACGGTGTTCCCGAAAATGATCAACAGAAACCTTTATAAAACATCTCTCATGACTTCTCATGAAAACATACTTTTACGAACTCGTAGAAAACATTCTGACGTTCTTTAATTGTTCCTAACAGAGGTTTTGAAAACAACTCAATCAAACGTCTAAAGAACATCCTTTCTTTACCTTTTTAAAAACACTCGGACATGGACATTACCACGTGCAGAAACAGTAGTTTCCAATACTTTTCTTTCAGAACTTTATCCTTATGGACATTTCGTGAATATATTTCGAACGTCTCTTTTCGTCGTTTTTGAAAATGATTTTGTGCGAACGTTTATACAACGTTCTATTTCAGTCCTCGGATGTTTCGACGTTAAACGGACTTAAAAAAAACGTCCATCGTACCTTTTGTGTCATTAGGGTAAGTAGGTACAGTTTCAATAAAATCATTGGGATATTATTTAAGATATTTTCGAGCGTTGAATGCAGCAAAATCTTCAAGTAGATGATTCATCATTAATTTAGCATCGATTTCATGCTCAATAGCAATCATTGCTAACATGCTCACTGCTTACCTTTTCTTGGCCGAGATGATATTGAATACGTTTTCATTAATTTTAATTTAGAGAAACTTTTCTTAACACTTGCAAGAGTTGGGCAATGGTAGTCAAATTCTGAGGATCTGTGGGCCACAACAACATTCGGTGCAATATCCAGTTGAAGTGCTAATTTTAACACATCAAAAAGATTTTGCTGGGCTCCAGTAACGTCTATCACAGATAGTTCATCAGCTATTTAAGTCACATTGACATCGAAAGACTTGTCATGCGTGAGAACATACCTACATATTATAAATTTTTGCAATATTCCGATAACTCTTCTAGATGAAATTTTTTTTAGTAAATTGATATCATATAAGAAGTTGAAATGCACCTATATATCCTATAATGCAGAGTGTTTGGTACATCGATAGGAAGTTTTTAATAATTACTCATTGAAAACTTCCTAGCACTAGTTGGGGTCATTTGGAAGCTGATCATATTTACCCTCATGCAAAATTTTGAGGTTTTGAGATATCAGCATTTTTAGATATTTTTGGGAAATATTTGAATTATTCCTAAAATATATTGTTTTTTTTTTTTTGGAATAACCATTTTAACCTTTTTCAATTTTTTTCCGATATTCCTGATAAGCACTGTTTCGAAAAACTCGGAAACAAAATCCGAATGATTGATACAAAAAATATGTAGCACAAATTATGTGTTAAAATACATGGATTCAAAATATCTAAAATGGCGATATCTCAAAAATCGGCGAAACTTTGCATAAGGGTAAATATGGTCAAACAGCTATCACTTATTGAAATCTTCTATAGATGTACCAAAAACCCTGTATAATTGGTTTGCTGTTCGATTTATATTTCTTAATTTTTTCGTCGTTGGTTTAATTTTTTTTGTTGTTGTATGGTATGAATTTGCCGCCCCTGGATCGTGCCGCCCTGGGCGGCCGCCCATCTCGCCCCCCCTTAAGCCGGCCCTGGCTATGGATAGGAACCACTTTAAGGGATAAAGTCTGCAACGAGGAAATTCGTAGAAGAACTAAATTGACGAATGTACAGGCTTGTGGCACAAATGAAATGGAGATGGGTTGGTCATATTATACAAGGCAGAATGACCGTAAATGGACATACAGGATATTAATTTGGAGCCCAAGAGAGACCAAACGCAACATTGGTAGACCCCAGAGATGATGGCGAGACGATATCCAGAATGTTGCAGATGGAATTGGATCAGGACTGCTAAGGATAGAAGAGCGTGGAGAGATTTGGAGGAGGCCTACATTCAGGAATGGATAAGCAGTAAGCACGGGCTGAGAACGAGGAGGAGAAGGACTAGCTGAAGGACTATCATCTGCTTACAACCCTGGGGCGCGTTCACAGTGGTTTTCCCTGGGTAAAACTTAACCAGGTTAAATATTTCACTGGTTGAAAAGGATGCGCTTGGGATGACAAATCCGTGAACGACTAACGCCTGCGCCATAACGAGGTAGGATTTGATTTTGTTTTCCTTTTGTTTACATACGTTGTGTTTCGAATGTTTCGAGATGGATCCGGGAATAATTTTTTACAAGTACTATTGAAACTTCTTCGGATTCGTCTGATACAGAGGAAGAAGTCAGCTATGCTGTAGCACAAGCTGCATGTGCTAGCGCTAGCAGTTTATGTTCAAGCCTGAAAAAAGGCATATTGAAAGACAGGATAATTTTATGGCAACAATACGCAATTATAGCGATAAGGAGTTTCAGGAAAATTTTAGAGTTTCCAGAGAAGCTTTCAACTGGCTTCTTGGAAAACTTGAAAACCAGTTGAAGTCAGCAATGCATGGCCCAGAAAGATTACCAACAGTATTGTTTATCAAATTTCAAATATTCTTGTAAAACGCCTGCGCGACAAATTTTACCCATGTCTGAGTGGGTTAAAAAGTTGTACAACCGGGTAAACTTATCATGGCTCTGTGAACGGAGCAAATATTTTAACCGGGTGAATTAGGTAGATCCGTGAACGACTTAACCCTGCAAAAGACGCGCTCGGTGTGCACTCGGTGAGCGTCCGGCGTTCGACTGTGAACGCACTCCTGGCTTCTTCTTTTTTTTTTATGAGAACAATGAGTCCAGAGCCGCTTTTCAGTATGGGAGTGTGACGCCCGGAGCTACTCGGGGCGTTGAGCTTCCGAGCTGTACGTACGCGTCAACCTATCTGCTGTCACATCCGTGGGTGGCTATTTATCTATTTATTTCTTGTTATATCTCAAGATTGAACATTTTAAAATATATAGTTTTAATTCTCTTTCATTTTTGATAAATAAAAAAACAAACTGCACAAACAAACAGCGTCTCACGCCATGATACTGGAACGGTACAAATCTAGTGCGTGGCGCCCCCGGGGTGCTCTAGAGCGCGCCAGAGCGCCCCAAAGTGCATACTGGAAAGCGGCTCTGGCTTATCATCACTTCCATTTATATGCTTTCATGTTGCGTTGTTCCGGGGTGCGTCATAAGTTGAATTGATCAATATATTTTTTATGCTGTGCTTTCATGATATTGAGGCTGTCCGTTTGATCTTAGACTTTGGTTTGAAGGTATCTTGATTAAGATCCTGTTGTTCTAAAGATCGGCCCACGGTCCGATCGGCCCACCGGGAATTTCCCGGTGGGTTCATCCAACCCTGTCCGGATCTGTTCCGGAGCTCCTCCTAGGTGTGAACGGAATACAACTTATGAGAATCCGTGGAGAATAATTGAAACAACGTTACACCCTTATGAATCTAGATCTGCTTGTACATTGGAGCAGATATTCCAGATACAATTGAAAACGCTTTTCGACCATCGCTTTGCGAAATATCTGTCAAATGTCAAATCAAATAAATTGCGCAGTGCGCTTCCATTCCAGTCATATGTTTTTATTTTCGTGTTTGTGGTTTTTATTATTGGCAGATTACAACAAAGAAAAATAAATTGAGAAGTGATTGCATTAAAACTTTAAAACTGTAAGGATCCGAAAAATCTTAAAATGGGAGCAGTTTTAGGCCTTTGTTCAGCAGCTCAGGTAATACAAATTTGTTTATTTCAAAAAGTATTGTTGCAAATTCGATTCCAAATTACTCATACTCATTGATTGATCACTGTGATTCACCATTGAAAAATGTGAACACAACAACATGGAATAGGATACTTATACGAGCCAGAAGCCCCAACATTCTCAACTTCTCCCAAATGACACTGGACGCTGTAAGAAGGTCACTTGGAAAATTTAGAAATTCATAACTTGAATAATTTCCCTTTCTTTGCTATTTTCCGTGGTATTCCACAGTATCAACTTTAAATGCTTGTTTATGACCTTTATGAATCAATTGTTATGAATCAAAAATCTAGAAAACATTGCACTTCAGTTCTACTGACTATTAGGTACCTACTTATTTTTAAATTGAGATAAGGTTGCAACAAATATCCTTGGAAACATCTCTCTATGAAAAATATTATTTCTTAGGCCTAACTTATCAGGTGAATTTTTTTACTTGTTCTATAAGTACAAGAAACAGAGTATCCAGAAACATCAGTGACGTTGGAAAATTATAGCGTTTTCTGTTGGTAAAACTCGTGCTGTCCGAGTTCTGCACTCAACACTGAATCAGTTCACGTTTAGTGCAATCTCAAAAGAACATGAATTTGGCGCGTTTTGTCATTCTTTTAAAATTTATTATTTAACGATCCCTGATCCCTAACCTAACCTAAAGACATTTTCAATGGAATAAAAATTAAAAACGTTTGTGTGTATGAAAAAGTTGAAAACGGAAGTTTTTCCTGTATGTAAAGTACATAATTATGCTGTCTCCCGAGATGTGCAGAAATAATTTCAATGATACCTGCGTTGAAATTAATTTTTATGTCAATTTCAATAATAAAATTTTGAATTTTTGGTATCTCATTATCCCTGGCAAACATTCAGGCCTATGATGTATTCTGTCCTGTTATTTCAACGTCTGTGTTAAGGCTCAACATCTATTTCTGTCTCTATTTTGATGTTGCTGCTAAAATAACAGAAAATGATACATCATAGGCCTGCGATTGTATATAATATAATAGATCCGATTAAATTTCATTGGTTGAAAACAGTCAGAAAACTAGTTTTCTGACTGTTTTCAACCAATGAAATTCACTCTGACTGGTTTGTGATTTCTGCAGAAACAGACCTAATAATTCTTCCTCTTCATCGCTGTCGCTCGACGAAGATAAAAAATATAGAATTTTATCAATATCGATATCCATAATTTTTTGGTTTTGTTTATACACAGACTTTTCGGCACTTTACGCCATTTTTGTTGTGCCCTGACATTGGCACGAGCTCTCTGACCTCGTGCTGGAAAAGTTGCACGAGGGCAATAATTGATTGCCCTGGTTTTCCAATAGAACATAAAAACCCGCTCGGAAACTGCCAACAGAACATAATTTTTGCATGAGTGCAGCACGAGTTTTACCAACAGAAAACGGTATTAGTATTCCAGAGCCTGATTAGTAGTATGGCTCAAGTAAACACTAGAAAAGAAATCTGGAAACAAGTCTACAGTCTGGATTACTACAGCGAGTTGAGCCATTATAACTCATGTTACAGGGAAGAACAGAGTTATTTCTAAGATTATTGAACTGTGACCAAAATGATCAAGGATTCCCATTAATGTTATTTTCAGTACATTCTTTAAGAAGATGGGGAACCTATGCCTCACTTTGGAGAACATCAAATAGACCAAATCTCGAACCAAATTATCTCCCGTTTCTCTAAATTTTTTGTGCACCTTCTTCTTTCCAACAATCAATCTACGCAGCCCAGTGCTGAACCATATAGGAAATTTAGAAGTTCAGAATTTCTGTACTGGAACATATAGAGCAGCCTGCTCAAGGGTCAAATCATTCATTAAACACTAAACAGTAAACACCAATTAAAACCAACCAAATAATCATTCAATGAAATGTAATTGCCATTTTTAAAATCAAAAAAGCACTCCTCATATTTAGTATTTAGAACGTTTGCATTCTACATTATGACTGGATTTCATAGATATAGATGTGTGGTGAATACTATTATTCAAAATCATATCGATGGCTCTCAATCTCAACAGTTCCCAAGTTTCAGAACACCAAGTCTAGCAAATCATTCCTGCTATTCGTGATAGTGTTACCTGACGAAAATTGTAATAATTTAGACACTCTAAAATCATAAGCCGGAGAACTCCCTGCACACTCGCTAGTTAGACCAAACTCATTATTAAAACAAAATTACATCAGGCTTAGGTGGTAGGTAGATATAGCCCAATACAAATTCAGATGACTTACTTCCAAAGCACACATGAACCTGTTCAATAGTTGTAACATCATCATTTCAATTCCTACCAGGGGCCCGATTCTCGTCTCAGAGAGAGGAGAGTTCTCCGAGGGAACAAATTTTTCGTCTTTTTCATTGAAAAGAACAAAAGATTTGTTCTCTCGGGGAGCTCTACTCCCTGGGGACGAGAATTGAGCCCCTGGCAGCAATTAAAACTTCTCCACCCCAAGTTCTGGAATTGCCGATTGATGAACGATCAGTATGACAACAATCAAACTGCCCTGGACAAAGCTCTGCATATATTTATAGTGGAAACATTCAATAGCCTACCAAACCTCTTTAAGTTTAATCCTAAGACCACCAGCATTATTGTGATAAATCAGAATATCTGTGATAACCACCATTTCCAGCTATATACTGGCCTGATTTACTTGATCTCCTCAAAAATTCTCAGACTTACGTACATTGTTCCTCCTGAATTTTCTTAACTTGCAACCATATAGGTAATGTTGACATCACTGCCTTTTTAAAACTTTGAAAGTGTCATGTTGCCTCCTACTCGACTTCCTTCTTCAATTTTCCTCATCGATTCGCTTCACTTATTATTATTATTTTTTTTCACCAATGGTTAGCTGATTCTTAACACACTGATTTAATCCATCAATAAACCTTAATCCCTAAGGTAATCCCTTCTTTCTTACAAGTGCATCATACCAGAAAAATAGAGCAACAGTCTCATTGGCGCAAACAGCTTTCTATTGTAAAAATCATATTGAATCTATTGATTTGAATTTCCTAATAAATCAACTATCAACTCTATTCTTCCTCAGGAGCCCAAAATAAAATAAAAAAACAGAAAAAAGTTAATATTTTTTGTTCTATTCAGAAGTTGTTCCAATTCTTTGAAAACTCTATTATTTTTTTTTTGCTTTTTAAAGCTGGCTTGTTGCTGTGGCAGTGCAGCTTGTTCTCTTTGCTGTTCAGCCTGTCCGTCATGCAAAAACTCGACATCGTCCCGCATTATGTACGCTCTAATGCTACTACTCGGCACCATTGCAGCCTGCATTACTTTGGCACCTGGATTACAGGATGAGCTAAAAAAGGTAAGTAATCTCCAATTTGAAATGGAATATCTTAATAGTAATGTTATATTTTTTTTACAATACAATAGGTACCGTTTTGTAAAAACAGTACAAGCGTAGGTGAGGCAGTGTTGCCATCTTTCGATTGCGATAAAGCCGTTGGATATTTGGCCGTTTACAGGATTTGCTTTGTTCTGACATGCTTTTTCGTGCTATTTGCCCTTATGATGATTGGAGTAAAATCTTCACGAGACGCTAGAGCTGGGATACAAAATGGGTACGAATAAGAATAACAATAACTCAAAAGTAAATCCGAATTTTAATCCCATTTTGACGTTTAAAAATGATATTATTGAACGCATAAGAACAAATACAATAATGATTTAATAGTTATGTATGAGCTGATTCCTTGTACGTAATTAATTTTTTGAATTTCCATCAAAATGGGACAAAATTTTGTATCATTATTTGAGTTGAAAACTGTTTTTCATTCAGCACACTTATAACTAATATTATTGTTCCTACACAGATTTTGGGGTATAAAATATCTTCTAGTCATCGGAGGTATAATCGGAGCATTCTTCATACCTGAAGGTAGTTTTGGAATAACATGGATGTGGTTTGGTATTATAGGTGGTTTCCTGTTTATTATTATTCAACTAATATTGATTATCGATTTCGCCCATTCGTGGGCGGAAGCTTGGGTGGGAAACTATCAAGAAACTGAATCCAAGGGTTGGCATTATGCCCTTATCGGAGTCACATTATTATGCTATGCTTTGAGCCTTACATGGATTGTTTTGCTTTATGTATTTTTCACTACAGTAAGTATCAAGCTATTTTAAATATTATTTCACTTCAGACAATTTTTTTTTTAGTCTGATACATCCTCATGCTCCCTGAACAAATTCTTTATATCAATAAACCTAATATTTTGCGTCATTGTCAGTGCAATTTCAATCTTGCCTGCAGTCCAAGATAAATTGCCACGATCTGGACTGTTACAATCTTCAGTTGTTACTTTGTACGTGACATACCTTACATGGTCTTCCGTTTCCAATTCACCAGGTAAAAAGTTTATTATTGGACTTTTTCCAAAAACTATATTGAAAACATTTCTAGGTGATTGTAATCCTGGTCTCTGGGGAATTTTTGGCGGCAAATCCAACGGACACCGAGATTTCGATATAATCGGTCTCGTAATTTGGATGTGCTGTGTCCTGTATTCTTCCCTCAGATCTGCTAGCAAGTCTTCGAAATTGACCATGTCGGAGAATATTTTGGCTCACGACAATGGAGCTGGTGAGTTTCGGATTTTGTTTGGCTTTTTTTTGTTTACTTATTGCTTTTGAGGTTGCTTAGGGTGTAGCTTAGAGCCATGGCATTATGTAGTGAATTTTTGTTTTATTGTTACAATTTTGAAAAGTGTTTCAGGAGTGTCGTAACGTAACAACTAATATCTATTTCGAATATTTTGAGTCTAATGGAAAATATTTTTTTCTGTAGTCAGAGGATCTGGATCGGACAATCTAGTAGTTAACGAAGGTATGTCAGAATATATAATACGGAATTGAGTTATCTAAATAAAAATAGAAATGTTGATATATTTAACGCGCATGCGCATTTGTTATGTTTTTGACAGTATACCTAGATATTTAGTAAATCACTAAAAAAAAAAAAAAAGTACCTACATGATTATAACTTATGAAAGGCAAATAAATATTAATGAGTAATGAGTAGAACGATAGTGGAAGAGCAATATTGCCATCAACCAATGAGACAAGACTCTTTCTCTTAAATCCAATTAAAAGTTTGTCATAAATTCAAGAAAATCCCATTGAGAAAACAAATCATTCTGAACCAAAAATACACAATTATTAAAAAAATATACATTTTACATATCATTCGTCGTAACACTTGAGTAAAGGACCCCGCAATATTTAAATGGAAATTGGTTACCCGTGATATTTGGATGAAATTTAAATATGTCATTGGGGATGCCGTAAGCCACATTTTTTACCATGGGCACAACCCTGTATATATGACAGGTGAGGCGTGGTTAGCTGTCAAATATTGGAATCTTATATCCAAAAGAGGAGTGACTATGGCAGATTTTGATGATCGAATTATCGATGTCTACTAAGTCGACCAAGTCAAGTCGAAAAATGTCAACCATTTTGACACCTGTCAAAACCCTGCCAAACGGCAGCACTCATCTTTGCCGTTTTCAATATTTTATGATGTTATTTGACATTTCTAACTTGTATGTAAATTCTGAATTCAAAAATTGAAAAAAAAATGACAGAACTGTCAAAACCTGTCATTTGTTTTAGTAGGAAAATATACTCTAATCTGGTTCTTTTTTGTTTCAAGGTAGTTTAGCGGTGATAAAACATTAAACAAAGTTCATGCATGTCACATTTTGACAACTGTCAGAATCTGTTAACAGATTTTTGGTTCATATTGAGTTTGTTTGCTTAGTGAAGGTTTAGTTCTATTGTATTATTCTATCATTATAGTTGTAGAACTTCACTAAGCAAACAAACTCAATATGAACCAAAAAACAGATTCTGACAGTTGTCAAAATGTGACATGCATGAACTTTGTTTAATGTTTTATCACCAATAAACTACCTTGAAACAAAAAAGAATCAGATTAGAGTATTTTTTTCTACTAAAACAAATGACAGGTTTTGACAGTTCTGTCATTTTTTTTTCAATTTTTGAATTCAGAATTTACATACAAGTTACAAGTGTCAAATGACATCAGGAAATATTGAAAACTGGAAAAGATGAGTGCCGCTGTTTGACAGGGTTTTGGCAGGCGTCAAAATGGTTGACATTTTTCGACTTAACTTGGTCGACTTAGTAGAAATAGATTTTTTTGTTCATCAAAATCTGCCATAGTTACTCTGCTTCTGGATATAAGATTCCAATATTTGACAGCTAACCACGCCTCACCTGTCATATATACAGGGTTGTGCCCAGGGTAAAAAATGTTGCTTACGGCATCCCCAATAACATATTTAAATTTCATCCAAATATCACGGGTAACCAATTTCCATTTAAATATTGCGGGGTCCTTTGCTTGCCTTAATATAACATGCCTTATAATTTTATATCTAAGGTTCATTTCACGAAGGTTTGTACTTATGACATTGATAATGTCATAACTTGAAAAAAAAAAGGTTTATCGTAGATTGATATGGAGGATTTTTTAGCGAGTAACCGTTTGTAACCGTGTTATTGTTATCACGAGCTATAACCGTACGGTTATTACCCTCACAACTGGTGTTCTGTCAAAAATTACCCCCACCTAATAAAGTTTGTTATTAAACGTCTTTTTCGCAAAAACGAATCAAACGAACCGGTTATAGAAAGCGATTATACAAAAGTGAGGTTATGACGTGCCTATTAGCCTATCCAAAACACATGACAAAGGGTTTGTGTGCCTCTTGGCGGACATTTTTATTTAAGTTTGACAGCATCTTGGATAGTCTAATCGTCTAATCTAATGGCAATCCAACGACCTGTCAATGGCGCCTGGTTGGCACACAATAAACAAAAAACATTTGGTGGGATTATCAATACAATGATCAATACACATAAAGTCTGTTTTTTTTTAAAGATAATTCCCGAAGTCAAAAATTTAGTAACTATGTTGGCAACACAAGCCTTTTCTACATAAAAAAATTGAAACCATGGTCAATCCAAATTCCTAAGTATTTAATTTTTGTTACCATTTCAATAGTGTCGCTGCCCAACAATAATTTGCAGTCCATAGCCAATAGCTGTTTGTAAATGGATTCCCTTGCAATAATCATGTACTTTGTTTTAGAAATATTGACATTCAAATCATTAACATTACACCACTGATACACATCATCCAATATTTTGAGATATCGATCAAATTCCGATATTTTCAAATGAAACACCCTATATATTAATAGCTCATTGGATAGCTCTGTTTTTGCTGATTTCAATGATATAAAGTTCGATAGGTTTATCTCTAACAGTTTTCGAGAAAAAAAATTATATCTGTTTTTGTCGTAAGGACCAATGTGTTAGAAAAGGATTTTATATGTGTCAGGAGAATGAGGAAGAACTCTGTCTAACACATTGTTTCTTATGACCGAAACAGATATAATTTTTTTTCTCGAAAACTGTCGGAGATAAACCTATCGAACTTTATATCATTGAAATCAGCAAAAACAGAGCTATCCAATGAGCTATTAATATATAGGGTGCTTCATTTGAAAATATCGGAATTTGGTCGATATCTCGGAATTGGAGCGATATATAGTAATTCAGTGTTGCCGCATCCGCCGATTTTGCGGTCCATCTACCAAAATGAATCTGTTTTTTTCTAGTATACATGTATTATAATATTATATTTTTATTTAATTATGAACTCAAAAGAAATTGAACCACCGGAAACAAAACAAAAACCAAAACAATCAAAAACGTGTGGCCAACTGTCAGCTTCATGATCGACCGCTTACGAAACCTCGCGATCCTTAACGGAAACCTAAGCCGTAACGCAAGAAATGGAACTGAACCATTTCTTAAGGCTTAAGCCCATTTTATAATGGAAGTAACGTAACCGTAAAGACGTAACATAAGTCCTAGCATGCATATATCAGAGTTATTTGCGTCAAATATGTTACCGGCGGCAACGCAACGTAAGAGATGATCAACTCTCATCTCTCTTACATTGCGTTTTCAGTGACGTATTTGACGCAAATAAATGAAATGTGCGTATGCTTAGGACTTATGTTACGTCTTTACGGTTACGTTACATCCAATGTAAAATAGGCTTTACGGCTTAAGTCTTACGGTGGCACTATGAACTGTCCCATTGAATTACATGGTTTTTATTTTTCTTACGTCTTACGCTTAAGTTTTAGGTCTTATGTTACGGAAGCTCTGAATCCAGCCTAATAATTCAGCTTTTTTTATGGGATCTATGTTGTTCCTGATGGCTGGGGCCATGTCGCGTGCAAAAACCAGGGCTACTCTATTTTATTTTTATTTTAATTTATTTTTTATTCTTTTATAAACGGGGTCTAAATTTTAAAATGCTAAATGTTAAATGTAAAATGTTGAATGTTAAATGCTAAATGTTAAATGTTTTTTATAAACTCACCATAAGGATTCTAAAAACATAATCAAGAAAAAGTATCGAGGTGGAAGATACCCTGTGGCACCTGAAAAAAGTTTTTTAGTTTTCTGCGATATATGGCTTCACATGAAATATTGCATCCACTTGGTGACCGATTTGATCTGGTGCAAGCTAGAGTAATGAATATAGTAAATTGCTGTTTATATTTTGTGCATCAAGTGGCCCAAACACGGGAAGAGTTCGAATTTATTAAAAATGGATTCACAAACCATCCAGGTAGATACCTATACCCTAGAATGTAATTTCTTAGGGGAGGATACCTACCCATTTACTGATAATTATTGCAGGGACTATAGGCGCATTAGATGGCACTCACATAAATATTAAAGTAGGTATAGTATTTATAATACACATTTAGAATAACCCCATCCTTATTTATCAATCACGAATCAGATGAAACAAAAAATTACCAACAAAAACGAAGAAGCGACATATGTTTAGTCACTAGAACGACTGGTACTTCTAAATAGGTATTAAAAATTCTATACCAGTGGTCCAGCAATATAGTTATATTCACAGATGCCAAAGCTATTCAATTAACCTAATGGGAATTTGTACTCATGATAAACTTTTCACATATGTTTTTATTGGTTACCTAGGATCTGCTCATGACTCCAGAGTGAATTTGCACAATCTAGTTTTGATATAATTAAATAAAAATTAAGTTAACAGTGAATTAAGATAATCAACCAACACATATTATCACTTTCCTTGATAATTACATTATAAAAGTCATAGGTATCTTTCTTTCCTATAATCCACAATAGAACGCTTCAAACTTATGTTGAAATAAATTTTCTTTCTATTGCAATTGGTTTTTTTATATAAGTAGTAGCTAGTAATTTTACTATTATTGTAGGTATTTTCCAATTCTCTATTAGTGAAAAATATTGAAGAGCATGGAAAAAAAAATACTTTCCTTTAGAAGAGATAGGGCGTTTCCACTAAGAACTTGGCTTATGACTCCATATTCTAGAAACAAAAATTTAACAGTTCAAGTTCAAAAATTCCATAACAAAAAATTAAGTGGAGATAGAGTTAGGATTGAAAATTCATTCAGTGATGTGAAACAACGCTGGACAAGGTTGAAATTTATTAATACGTACAATATTTTCAAGGCAACTGAAATCGCAACTGCTGCATGTATATTGAACAATTTTTGCCTCCAAATGAAAGAAGTATGGCCACAATATGATATTTCTGAAGAGGACTTCAATTAAAATGTTCATGTTATCAATGAGTATAATAAGGGAGAAGCCCATATTTTAGGACAAATAAAAAGAGATGAAATAGCAGAGTCATGACAAGAAGAAATAATTGAAAAATTTATCAGTTATTAATTTTTCTTTTTCTGTTATTTGAAGTCATTCATCATTATTTCTATTCATTTAAAATAATTTTTATTGATACCTACTCTTCTTTTATTATAGGGTGGTCCAAAAAAAAAAAACGGAATTTTGTTCTTGAGTTGTAACTTTTTTTTTTGTTACCAATATCCTTTTGTTTTGGCTTGTTTGAAACAGAATTGAACAAGCTAACGAACGAAGCAAAGTGAAACTTTTCAAATTTGAGAAAAATTCAAAATGGCGGACTTCTTCAAAAATTTCCTAGTTTTGGATATAAAAAGGTGAAATTCGATCTTGGAAAAATTTCAATATTTCACTTAGTTTTCAACCGATTTTTCTTGGCGAGGTCTTAAAATGTTCGCAAAATGATGAGCTTTGAGAATTTATCAAAAAAAAGTTAGACAGGGAGTCACAAAAAAGTTTCAGCGCTATCCAAAGCTAGGTAATTTAAGAAAAAGTCCACCATTTTGAATTTTTCTCAAATGTCAAAAGTTTCACTTTGCTTCGTAAGCCTGTTCATTTCTCTTCCAAACAAGCCTAAACAGAAGGAAATTGGTCAACAATAAAAAAAGTTTCAGCTCAAAAACAAAATTCCGGTTTTCTTTGGACCACCCTATATTTTACTCGTTCAGACTCTAATTTCTATGATAAATACATATTAGCTAATTACTAGATATTTTTTTATTTGTTTTGGAACCAAATAAAGATCTTAATAAAAAATTTAAGAATTCAGGTATTAGCGATTCCTATGAAAAGTCTGAACCCTAGAACATTGTATTGTACCTACTACATTTGTATGAAGTAGATATTTATTACTAAGGCCCGGTTTACTCATCTTCAGATAAACTTGCTGGTAACTATTTGGAACAATTTACAGTTCTGTGATTCTATTGGTCGGTGGATAACTGGCCGACCAATGAGATTTCAGATTGCGCTTCTATTCATCAGATTGCATACTTGGAAGGTGAATAAACCGGCCCTAAGAAATAATTTTTTTTTTATGGAAATAATTAAAAAAAAAAAAAAAAATGGAAAGGTAACAACTGTTCCAATTATTGGAAACATACCGATAATGAAAAAGGTACCTAACTCCAGTTACCAAGAAAATAATGGATACATTAGGGTAGCTGGGTACATATTTCTAGAATTTCTAGTCTGACTCTGATTCTTGATCAGACCTTTTTTTTTTCTTCCAATTTCTTTATCGACCAGTTTTTCAAACAAATTTTGTAATTTTTCTCTTTGTTGATTTTGCATTTCCATTAAATTTGAAAGAACACTGAATTCTTCTTTCCGTTCATTTCTGGATTCTGCATGTTGCTCTTTTATTACTTCCATCATAGCGGCATTAGCACTATTTGGACGAAGGCAACGTTGTGTTTTAAACCTAGAAAAATACCTTCAAGTTTAAAACAGAACTTGAACGAAACCCATTGTAAAATCGGTCGAAGCACCAATTCCAATAGCTATTTCATTTTAAAGTACAAATTGCTTAAGTGCATTGCAATTATTGCAGTAACTGCATAAAGCCCTTAAAGTGCTTTCAGTACAACGGAAGAGCTTAAAAGCAGATAAAACAAAATCAAATTGCTTGAAACACATTAAAAGAGGTTGAAGCACTAAACTCTCCAAACTCTTCAAAAGTAATTGGATGCACAGTAGAAGAGCTGGAATTCCTTTCGTCAATAATTACAAATTACCAAGCACTTATGAAAAGTAATTGGATGAGCAAGCCCTAACTACAAATATAGAACGAGCTTTGAGCACAAGACTTGCGAGCCCTTAATTAGCTCATTCAATTTTTCAAAAGTTGCAAGAAGCAGGTGTGGTAAATCCACCAATAAGCGCCGCTATCAATCATTTAATAAGTACTTGTTGGCAGTGAGAAACCTAGATTGTACCAAATTAAGACATTACCACATTCGCAGGTCGTTGCTTAACTAACAGGGACTTAGCAACCGATTGCTAGAGGTCCCAAAGCATAATAGTTTTGTTCGGACTTAGTTCAGAATCAGTTCCGAATTAAACTGCACTTGCGCATTTGTTTATATATGTTCGATATGAACAGATGCGCAAGCGCAGTTAAATTCAGAACTGATTATAACCTAGTCCGAACAAACTTAATAGGTAGATTACCTATCTTAGAAATCAAAAATTTGCAATACACAATCAAAAGCAAACCTATTTTGAATCGAGGCACTTGCGGCAGCATCATTTTCATCAAAATTAGTAGGTATCTGAACTGCTTTGGAAAATAAAATTTTCATTGGTGTATCCGAGGCTTTATCATTCTGAGATTCCAAAAAATCCTGAAGATTTTTGAGATTTACTTTACCTTTTTTTCCCAAAATACTATGCATTCCAGTAAAAAATGGAGGTTCAGTTTTTTGCCTCTCACCTGTTGAGTTGATGTGCTTTTTGTATTGTTTTTGTAAATTGGGAAATTTTATACGGCATTTTTCTATTGCTTGGCGCCCCACTCCTACATAATACCCAGCTTGGTTTAATTGTTTAGAAATTGTATGTCTTGCTTTTGATGCTTATTTTGTCATCTTTATGTGACAATTCTTGCCTCAGTCTTAAAAATAACGTGGTAGCTTCCAAGTCGCGAGATAATGGTTTTTTCGAAGCCCATATCATTTTCACTAGCTTTATTATTGTTTCTTTTTCCCTTGTGCAGTCTGCGTTGGTGGTGTTGTTACTTTTAAGAGCAGTCTCTGTGTCCACCATCACTTTTTCAAATTCATTTTCTCCTAGTTGATTTTGTATTAAACTATATGCAACATCTGGATCTAGTGGCAAAAAAACTTTTATGTGTAGGTACCTATTAAATTAAACAAGTACACATATTTTTTTACCATTAAGAAGTATATTCGCTAGGTCCAAGGGAACACAGACGGTATAATCCTCCCCTTCATTGTTTAAAGTTACTTCAGTTAGAATTTCAATATTCTCTGCCATGTTGGTCCCCCGGATTTGCAAGAAATGTATTGGATATTGATATTACACGTTCCACCTCACTGAGCGTTTTTTCTACCTTTTATGTTTAAACTAACAACCAGAAACCCACGTCCACGTCCCGCAATAATATTTTTCAATTTTCGGGTTTGACGTTAGATTAATGTAAACAAACCCAAACGCCCATATTTGAATAAAATCGAACTGTAAAATGTCCTATAACCGCCAGTTACTCAGGTCCTACATAGATTACTGAATTTAATACCGTGTTATAAATGCGTGACGACATTGAATTTCCCTATTGACGTCATAACAACTTCCCCTATTACCGCTGCCTCGCTAAAATTTTAACGGTCAGATAATAGGAACGGTAAGTGGCATTCAGTCCGAATTTCTCAAACTGGCGACGACAATGAATGAGCTCAATTCACTGAGCTACTCAAAGGTCTGAACCATTACATAACGCTCCTTAAACAGTGCAGTGCACCATGCAATTTTTCACCACTGAAATTCACAGTTTTGACTTTTAAATGTGGCTCATACTTGGTTGGAACTGTAATGGTCTCAACTCAAAGAGGGGAGACCTTTACCAGGCCGTGAACCATTACAGTCCCAAACTAATCTTTTTAAAGGAGACAAAACTACTACCAATGGACAGCCTAAAGGCCGAAACTCACTAGCAACACGCCACGCCATACTACGCCATGTGACACAGGTTCACGTGGGACAGTTTGTGTGCAAATGGACGGATGGCGTGGCGTGCCATGGCGGGGTATCGCGTGTGGCAAATGTGTACGCGGCACATATAAATAAATAGAAGAATATATGCACACATTTTCGTCACATGGCGTGGCGTGGCGAAGCATGACGTGGCGTGTTGCTAGTGGGTTTCGGCCTTTAAGCACAAACAGTACAACACAGAACGAATGAACAGAAATCGCAGAGGCGGAAGCGTGGCATGCCTGATCCACAAATCAGTTAGCTATAAACGGATCAAAACCCTTATAGTTGGGGAGCTGGCGTCAAAAACATGCAAGAGTTTTCGCAAGGCGGATATTTTCAAAATAGGTCGTACTTTAGTGCTAGAATGCTAGTGTACAGTCAGCACTCACAGTTCCGGGACAGCTGGCTCTGGGACGCGGGCAAAGTTGTAATTTTAAGAAGCATCTAAACTGTTTTCTCAAAGCTCAAAATTTATAGAAATTTTGCACACTATCTGTTTGAAGGTCACAGATAACGTATGTAAATCGTCAGACGTCTAGTTCGTTGCAAAAAGGGGGTCAGATGTCCTCAAAGTTTTTATTTTATGGCATTTTCTTCAAATATATTTGTCAAATACCTGCAAAAATATATTTTGACAGGACACCGAAGAAAATGCCATAAAATAAAAACTTTGAGGACGTCTGACCCCCTTTTTGCAGCGAACTAGACGTCTGACGAATTACATACGTTATCTGTGACCTTCAAACAGATAATGTGCAAAATTTCTATAAATTTTGAGCTTTGAGAAAACAGTTTAGATGCTTCTTAAAATTACAACTTTGCCCGCGTCCCAGAACCAGCTGTCCCGGAACTGTGAGTGGTGACTGTACACTAGCATTCTAGCACTAAAGTACGACCTATTTTGAAAATATCCGCCTTGCGAAAACTCTTGCATGTTTTTGGCCCCACCTCCTGGACTATTCAGAGGGGCGTTTAAATAAAATGTCATTTACAGACCTTTACAAATTCCTGTTCAATTCCAAATTTAGACCACTTTTCAGTGAAATGAAATTATGTTCATAACAATAATAGATTGGAGTAGAAGTTGAAGCATTTTTGGTTGCAAAATACGCATTCTAAATAGTAAAATTATTACCATTTTGTTGACAACAATATGCAAATTTTGGTCACGGATTTAAATGAAAAAGGGATAAACATATAGAGTAGCACACCAACAATAAATGTCCAAAATTTCGGATAGTGAAATGCTGGAAAAAATGAATAGAACAGAATTTTCGAAAATTATAATTTTTGTATCACAAAATTAATCAAAATCTGTCAAACAACGAGGTGATTGCTGTCATATTCAGCAAAGACTCAAACCAAACGTTTGTTCAGCGCTTCTCTAAAAGATGTCGCTGAGTTCGGGAAGGATAGTCACTTCTTTTAAACGCCAGTAAAAACTGTTTCACCTAGGTAAAAATGTGAAATACTATTATTTCATTTGTATCTGAATAAAATTATTTAGCCCAGTGTAAATTACTGTGTAAACGAATTGATATTGAAGATGTCGCCATCTACTTGTAAATTAGTCAATCACTTACAGAGAATTTGAACACCTGTGATTAAAAAATATTTAATGTATGTCATAAAGCCCAAAAGATGGCGCGCTGGCTCTTATCTGACGCCCCTCTTAATACCAGCATAGAACACATAACACTGGAGATAGATGACAATTTGTAGATCTCGGGGGGCTACGCCCCCCCCCCCCTCTGAAGCGATAAGAACCGCCCACGACATTAAGGTCTTTCCCAGAAATGGGAGAGCACTACTTTTAGGGGACCTTAATGCCAGGCACATAACATGGCTTAACCACACGAACAACATGACAGGTAGAATACTCTTCAAGGTTTTAAGTGACAACCCGGACATCTAATTGTCATTACACTACCCAAATAACCCCACGCACTACGCGCTTAACGGACTGAACCCCTCCACGCTAGATATCGCTCTCTCGAGGGGTTTCAGAGACCTGACTATTAAGACTAAAAACATTCTAAACTCGGACCACATATCGCTCTTCCTGTACTGGAAAAATCCTCCAGTGCAGGAGCCGCAAAAAATGCACAACTACAAAAACTTCAACTGGACGCTCTACAAACAACTTCTGAACAACACCACAACAATCCCCAACCGCATAACTAATATACCCAAACTTGAGCGGCAAGTAGCACTAATTACGCACAACATCACGCAAGTCAGAGATCAGCTAGCTCCAAAAATCACCCCCAAACCAAGAACGGACAGTATGCCAGACTCTGTTGTTGCACTCATAAAGGAGTGGAATAGGGTCAAGCGTGCATGGCAAAGGCGCCCTAACTTACTGGACAAACAATTACTTAACCTACTCAGCCGGGAGATAGAGGGGGGCATACGTCATCACAGGAACACGACCTTGATGAGGTATATCTCTACTCTGGAGACCCAAGGCAACTTCCTGTGGAAGCTGGCCAAAAATCTTCGAAGATCAGGCACAACACAGTCAGACCTGGTTGTCGATGGCGTCAGCTTCTACAGCGAACAGGACAGAGCGAACATATTCGCTTACCACTTCGCTAGGGTGTTCAGCAAAATACCCGACGCAACAAGAACGCACACAAACATCAACGACATAGCCGACGCCTTTGTCGTGCGCAAATACCCTATCCTCCCGGGAGTTCATCAGCGGATGCTGGCCACGCCAACTGAGTTAGCTGACGAACTGAAAAGACTCAAAAACAGAAAAGCATCCGGACCTGACACTATCACAAACCAACTGGTCAAGAACCTCTCAAGAAGGGCTATTATACATCTCCTGCAAATCATCAACGCATTCTTGATACTCCCAACACTTTCCGCAACCTTGGAAGCAGGCGAGCATAATAGTCTTCCCGAAACCAGGCAAAGACTTATCCCAAACACAGTCCTTCAGACCAATTTCTGTGTTAAATTCCCTAGGTAAAATTGCTGAAAAAATCATCTCCCGTAGACTCTCCGCATCAATAGATAGACTCCCTTAACTGCCTACCCAACGAACAATACGGATTCCGCCCTCAGCACAACACGACTTTAGCAGTAGCGAGGGTGACTCAAGACGCCTCAATCGCATTCAACAACCTAGAAAGCACCTTCCTACTGCTACTCGACATAGAGAAGGCCTTTGACAAAGTGTGGCACAAGGGCCTTCTGTATAAACTTCTGACTGTACACAACTTACCCCTCCACCTAATTTCTCTTATTGCCTCTTACCTCAGCGACAGAACATTCAACATCAAATTCCAAAACTCTCTATCCCCAACCAAACCGGTTCGGGCCGGAGTGCCCCAAGGCACCGTCCTCTGCCCCACCCTGTTTAACTTGTATATCGCCGACATACCCAAAACCAATGACACTAAAGTCATGATGTATGCCGACGATACTGCAATCTAGACCAGTGCCTTTATAGCAGAAGACGCGAGAACGGCGCTGGAACGACACATTGACCTCATATCTCCCTATCTTCAGACCTGGAAAATCACCCTAAACACCCCCAAAACAGAACTTCTTACGCTTACCAGGAAACGTACGAACATTATCATGTACCCCTCTCTGACGATTAACAACGTCATAATTGAACCCAAAACCACTGCCAAGTACCTGGGAATAATAGTCCTTGATAAGACCCTCAAGGGCCACCCCCAGGTAGCACATACCCTCAGAAAGGCACAGATCGCCGAGCGTCTTCTGCCTCCCATCATGAAGACCAATTCTTCTCTGTGCCCAAAAAATAAAATCAGCATCTACAAGACCATAATACGTCCAACTTTACTCTACGGAGCACCTGCTTAGAGCTTCATATCCAACACCGAGAAAAAAAAGGTCCAAGTATTCCAAAATAAAATTCTGAAAAACGCGCTTTCCCTGCCAATGGACACCCGAACAACTGAAGTGCATCTTGCTGGTATAAACACCATCCTCGAATACTTCAATGAAGTCTCAATCAAATTCTTCAGTCGTTCAGCATACGGACCCACCCTGACCAGAAACCTTGCCACCCTCAAGTTCGACCCACACAACCCTGTTTAACACCGACCCATACACCATAGGTTGCCAATTTATTTCGAGCAGCCGTAAACCGGCGAGCGGAATATAATTAAATTAGAAAATGTAACTAGACTAGTTCACTAGGAACAGCAACTCAATTGGAGCTCCGGGGTCCCACCCACGGACACGCCTACCAAATTTAATTACAAACACTCTGCTCACCGGAGACAAGCGCAAACTTTAAATATAGAATATATCAAAGAAACGTGAAGAAGGGTTTTTTCAATTTTTCCCTTCATGAATATCTTTGCAACTATGGAATGACAACTGGACACTATAAACCTAAAACACGACATAAAGTCAATACTGTGAATTGACCTATAAGGAGCACCATTGCGTGCCCCAGAAAAGAGTCATGTCGGACTGATCGTCACTGCCACCCCTATTATATTTCTCTCTAAGTTCGGGCCACAAAATCGGCTGTGCCCTTTTGGCGTACCATTCTTAGTCCTAGCTCTGATACTCTGTATTGTTTTGTAAATAATTAAGTGTATATGTATAGGCTAAGCTAGAATTTAGGATTATGATTGTAGTAGGCTAAGGTAGTTTAAGTTTGTAATATTGAAAATAAAGACCAAATGCGAATGCAAATGCTAAAATTTCAACGGTCAGAGATTTTCAGTTACCGATTATAACACGGTTACAAACGGTTAGTTGCTAAAAAATCCTTATGATTGATTCATATAAATTCAATAGCGTTCAGATTTTGTATTGCATTGAATGACTTCTGGTTTTAGGAACCGACGATCGTTTTTGACGTCGTGAATTTGTTTCAGTCAGTTTTTATTTTTTAGAAAACTAAGGCAAAAGTACAAACCCTCGTGAAACAAACAATACTTATAATTTGGATTAAGAAATTGTAAACCCTAAAAAGTTAGGAAAATACCAGAATATTTCTAGAGACATATTATTTTAAATCCCTCTAAGAATAATTAATAAAATAAACCAGCAACTACCGATTGCAGGGATCTCTCTGCTGGCACGTCTTCTTTCAGAGTCAAACATATATGTATATATGTATTTAATTCGCTGCGGAATAAAATACATCAGAGACAGGCGCAAATGTAATACCAAATTTCTTATTCACAATAAAATAAGTACCCAGACTCATCTGGATTGCTATTATCACACACTCAAATAATAAACAGAAACGCACTCAACAAAACAGTGCACATCCATGTTTCTAGTGACACCTCCCACTCCACTCCAAAATTATACTTTTACCTTCATTTCTCCGATGTGATTGGATGGCTAAAGAGAAGTGGGTTGAGGCTTAAAACAGGCCACCATATGTATGTTGCTAATATAAAATATGTAGTAAGTTTCCTTAGATATTGGCAGCACTTTTGCCTCTATATGTATATTTCAATGGTATATTTTATTTGCAACAACTGAAGTCGCCCACTACTTTAAAGCTATATTATTAGTAGTATTCTAGAACACATGTCTATAGTCCGGCAAATACCATTTTAAAGTCACGTGATATTGGTGGCAAAAAACGTATGTTCATTGATTATGTCGTTGATATCACCTACAAAAAGCTACTGGTGGTTAATTAGTATTGAATTTTAGGATATGTTCCCACTAGCATTTTACAAACGCGTTTCTGAAATAGTATTGACCAATCAGATGGGAATTTCAATAATTGCAATTGTTGCGAGACTCACTTTTGTCGCATCTGCTGTCCGTTGTAATACATTCTGAACTTGAATTGGGTACCCGTTTTCTATTTGCTTCTTTTTGAGTTGGAAAAAGGTTAATATAGTCAAAATTATTAGCTGTGTTTGTTCTTTGTATCATTTTCGAAAATAACTTTGACAAACTAATTGATGACAGTGACGGATTCTATTTCAGGTAAGAATAATATGAACAATAATTAGACACCAATTTTTTTTCAATTTTTCTGTCACCGCTGTTTAAGATGTATTCAACAAGGATAGAGAAAAATCACGTGACTTTAAAAAGGTATTTGTTGGACTTTAACTAGTTTCAAGCAATATTTTGCTAGTTACGATTATTATTATTATTATTAATCTAGTTTACAATAATGAAGTTGTTCTAGAAAAAAAATGTCAAAAATGATGTGGACATGTGTGTTATTCTTGGTACTAAGATCACACCAACACGGATTTCAGCTATTTTTTTCTTTTATAGGAACTTCGTGTTCACTGGTTACACTACCTGTTCTTGTCGCCAAGTAATTTTAGGCAATATTCACCATCATAATGCCCTGGTCAAAATTCTCTCACTTTTGTTCGTCTTATTTTAACACTTTTTTTTTCTTTTTCCCGCCCGCTTTTTCTTGTATGTAATATCAAAGATGGATATACTCCTATCACAGGTAACGATGGCGGCGAGAGCGGCGGCGACGGCAAAAAAGTTTGGGACAATGAAGACGACGCGGTGGCCTACAGTTGGAGCTTTTTCCATGTGATGTTCGCGCTGGCAACGTTGTACGTGATGATGACCTTGACGAATTGGTACAAGTAAGTATCAGTTTACTGGGTTGTTCACTATATTTTAACCCCTCACCTGGAAAGGTAGTTACAGATGCTACAAAAAAAAGTTTAATACAAAAATTGTCAAAAATTGTTTGGTCTGAAAAAAAATTCAAAGTTGGTAGTATTATTTATACAGGGTGTCCCAGATGTGGTCCACAGCTCTCAACTTGATATTTCTAAGTGGGACACCGTGTCAATCAGTCGTATAAATAAAGTGTAGCAAATGCTTTTACTCTACCTCTGTCTCTTTTTGCTGCATTAAAGCTGAATATGTTTATCTCAAAAAACTTAAGCAAAATCATATGCTCCTGTTTTATGCACATGACCCAATGTTTCTTTTTCATCCTCATTTGCACATTCACAAATCCTCATTATATTGATTTTAATTTTCCAGACCAAATTCCAATCTCAATCAAATGAACTACAGCTTGGCTTCGATGTGGGTCAAAGAAATATCCAGCTGGTTGTGCTTGGCCTTGTACACTTGGTCATTGGTCGCTCCAGTGTTGCTAAGGGACAGGGAATTTTAAATTTTCCAATCTTCAAATACTTACTCTTTGTGTACTGCAACTTGAACTTTTTGGCTTAGAAATTTTAATTAATTATGATGTAATATTCGTTAAATATTATAATGTTGGTAAGCTTTTGCAAGAAATCATAAACCAGTTGACATAAATACTTAAACTCATTTTGAACCATATTATGTGTTGACTGTTGGCCATTATTAATATGATTCATTTGCTTGGACACAGTCAATTAAAATTGCTGTTTGTGATTTCTACAGACTCATAATGCAAGCTCATAAGTGGCCAGAATATTGTTTGTACACTCTGTACAACATCATAGACTTATAATATGGTAATGTATTTTGTATATCCTATGGTTTGTCTGCCAATAAAATGTAAATACCTATTCTTACTACTTTTGATTGGCTCTAAAATTCTTCTATAGGAACAAAATTATTTATATAAGCTAGCTATAGATGTGTTGTGATACTGATAAATTAGCATATTATTATAATCTAAAATAAAACTTGTGTTTAAATTATGCATATTTTTTAATTAAATTTTAATTTCATCTAAACCGTTTAGTCTAAAGGAAGTATCTAAATGACCTGTACAAGAAGCGCCACCCTTACAAGAGACCATATTTTTGAGTAAATTTCTCAGGTAAGTTTTTTCAGTGGCTGTAAGATGTTGGTATCTATTTTGTAACTCGAATGGATCTAAAATTTATAAAAAAAAAAGTTATAGAAAGTATTACAACATAAAACTCTTCTTACCAATCCGTAAATTATAAAACGTCACTAATCCTGTAGTGAATTCGCAATACAAAAAATTATGCGTCAAATTGATAGTCCTAAGACACGAGTAAGTGTTGTTATTGGCATTCATGCAAAAACAAAAAGGGCCTTCGGTCCATTTTGGTGAGGTGCGCCAATGGTCGTTGTTGTGTTCGAAACAGGTCATCCTTTCGTGATGGCAAACTTCTTCTTTTTTGCGTTGTTTTTTGAGTTTGATTTTTTCTTCCGTTGAGGGTTCGTAATCGGACAAGTCGTGGCTGATTTCGTCGTTTTCGTTGTCACAATAGCAGTATTTGTACTCGTTTTTGTGACGGAGTAATCCGGAACGTTTGGTTTTCATCTGGAAAAAAATAATTATCGTAATGCTAGACAAGGACAAAAAGTCTAAAAACCCGCGGTTTTGATGGGGTTCAATTCAGAGACACTTTTCGATTTTAAAGTATGTATTACATTCGTGAATAATTATTGGAAATAGCTATTTTTGAGGAAGTAGCCGAGTCGCAACATGACATAATAATTATCTTTAATCAAAATGGAGTAGCTGAAGTCGTTCTCCACAAAATAAATCAAACATTTATTAAAAATAAATAAATAAAATTAAATAATCTTTATTATTAGCTTTAAGCTAGAAAAAATAAACATAGAGTACTTTGATCAAAGTTTGTTCGAACAGTGGGAATATAAAAAGTGTCTGTATTTCTAGTGTTTCAGTCGTGTACACTGCGAACGGGTATCAAAAGTCTTGTAGATTCTTTGGTAAGCATCCCTGCACGATTTTGAATATAAGTGTAAGTAAATTGTTTGTTTTACACTTAGAATCCCACGGCTTGTAACATTGTCTCTATACTTGAACGTCGATTACAGTTGAGAATAACACATATTGCCATGTTTTGTCTCTTTTGTATTTGTGCTATTTCAGAATTACGACCCAATGCAAATACCTTCTTCGCTATTTTTCTTGTCACATAGGTGGCATGGTTGGTAAAAGTTAGTTAATAAAGTGAAATTAAATAAAGATTAAATTATTTCTCAGAACATAGAATATTTTATATCAAATAAGTCAATAATTCTTGATACAAAACTTACCTACTGATCTCTTTTCAAGTATAGCAGACTCTTGTAACGATAATACCTAAACTAAAAACAATAAAAATATGTGTTTTATAGAAGATGATATTACACTTGGGGTAAGTATTTATTCCATTCACTTGAAGAATTTTTATACTTGATTCCATATTTTGCTAATCTACAAAAAAGTTTAAGTAATACTCGAAACAAGATTCCATCTAGAATTGTTTCAAGTATAGTTATATTCTTGATTTCAATACTATTTAAGTCTTGAACTAAGTATAACTTTTCTCAGCGTAAAAGAATAGGATTCTTTTTAGAAGTATAACTAGAGTTGCGGAATGGGGAAACTAGCATAGCGTTGAATCAAGATTAATAATCTTCAGTCCAGTTTAGATTTTTTTCCGTGGAAGTGCTTCTATAGCAGTTAACCATAAGTTTGGATCAATGACAATTTTTTTCTCCTTTATATTCAGATGAGATTTTGTGTATATCATTATCATACTACCACCTGTATGACGACTTTTTGGATATGCACTGCTGACGTAGTTAATGTGTAATATACGTGATTCTGACAGACATACATGCTGTGGACATACTATGTCTCGCTCCAGCTTATTTACAATCCAATTTAGTTTTGTTTTGTGAGGAAGCAGGCTCTGTATGTTAAGATACATTAGCTTTGACTTTCGTAATTGCTATGCATTCCATCCAAATATGTCAGGGTAGTTAAATCTATTTTGAAGTTCTCGAAATATTCTTCTATATGACTCACATTTTTTGTTGTAGGAATTGTATGATAAATAATTATTATCTCCCTTGATGTTTCCGATGTTAAGTTTATAGGCAGTGGGCAGCTTGGCTACAGCTCATGCATTTCTCAGTATTATTATCACATTCCCTTGTATTATGATCTTCTCAGCATTTTCCACAAACAGGTTTTTCAATGGTGCAATCCTTGGCCATGTGCCCAAACTTCCAGCAATTATAACACTGAATCACATTTAGAATAGAATAGAAAAAAAATAGTTTATTGTATCAGGACAAAATGTATGCAGTACTACTTATAAAGTATTTTCTCATGCATACCTATTAAAATAATTATATAATAATATATATACTGATTAGAAAATTTTGGATTAATTTTCTTTGCTTTTCCATCCATAGACCCGTTTCGACCTATATCAGGTCTCATCAGTATGGCTAGGAAAAGCAAAGAAAACCAATCCAATTTTTGTGTTGAATCCTTGTCTTAGATGGCGCCACGATCAAATTTCGACCGTCTTAATAATATATATATATATATATATATATATATATATAAATATTAAGAAAACTTAGAAAGGGTCCATATACAACATCCATATAATTGCATTTCGATAGTACTAATGACTTTTATCTAAATTTTCGGATCGAATATCTCGACAAAAAAAAATCTATCGATTTGCGATTTTAATAGATTGATGGCAAATTTTATTGTGAACAGGGTGAAAATGCAAACCAATACCTGAAGTTGAGATTTTTAAGTGTTACCGAACATTTCGAAAAACAATTTTGGGATACAATTTTATTGTGATGGGGTTGTCTGCTGATCATTTTCATAAAACAATTTCAACAGTTTTTAATAATCTGCAACGGTTCGAGAAATATGGCGATTTCTTTAAAAGGAATAATTTTTCAAATTATTGACATTTGATTTTCCACCGAAAGGTTAAACGAGACTTTTTTTCCATCAAGATCCTATGCATATAAAATTTGTTTGAGAGAGAGAGAGAGAGAGAGAGTGTGCTCTGACACCCCGTAAAAATTTGCCAATGTCTTTTGAGAATATTCTTCATTTAAAAGGCGCATACAATTGTTAATTGTTCATTTCGTTTATGCTTAGCCTGGGCATTTTTTACATTTTATTTACGACTAATGTATAATGTGCGTATTATATTTGTGAATTTGGCAGTATAATGACATATGTTATTCCTTCAGGGATTAATGACGAGTAGCGGGATTAATGGTCATTATTCCACAAAAGTGTCAGTGTCAAACGTGTAGTGCTTGTGGATTTGTATTGAAAATTATGAGCCGGATGAAATTTGTTCATTGAAAATCTCAAATAAATTAATTTGTCGTAAATAAAGTAGAGTATACTACTCGCAATAATGGCTATTATTCCCTCGGAATGTTACTCCCTCGCCGCTAACGCGGCTCAGTTCGTAATAATCCTCGGGAATAATAGCTATCATTATTGACTCGTGGTATAATCTACTATAAAATAAACGAAGACAATTATTTCAACAATATTAATAAATGAAGAACTGAGTAAAGAACCGACAATCTGTCAAATACTGCATTTTTGTGTCCATGGATACCTATGTCAAAAAATTGTTTATTTTTCAGAGGTGACTCAATTACGCAGTGAGGATTCACAGATCCAAAATTTAAAACAAATCCTTTTGTACCCCAAATCGTTTTTCGCAATGCTCGGTAACAATTAAAATTTCAACTGTAGGTATTGGTTTGCATTTTCACCCTGTATAACAATATTTGTTACAATTGTTCATTTTAACTGATAAATCCTCTCATTTGCAATAAAATTTGTAATCAATCTATGAAAGTCGCAAATCGATACGATTTTTTTTTTGTCGAGATATTCGATCCCAAAATTTAGTTCAAAAAATAGAATATCCACTTCAATTGTCCAGCACTATAGTTGGTAGATAGTTTTCAAACTCATATAGACACTTTAATGCATAATAACACTTTTGCGACAAGCTGCTCATTTGGCCATTAAATGTCAGGGTAAATGGTAAATGTGTCCAGTTGCAATGTTTACCCTGGAGCTATGCCTAACCCGGGAGTGACTGGCCCCTAATGTTATTTTTACTGTCTTCCGTTGTTTCTTTATTTTGATTTATTATTTTTTTCTATTAAAATTTCTTCATTTTCTGCTGTTTTTCTGTACATACCTTCAACACTTTAATTCTTGGTTTTTTCTTTTCAGGTTCGTTTACCTCATAATTTTGGCCCAATGTTTTTCAATGTTTGGTTGCAAAATTTTGGATTCAATTTCACTTTTGCAGGTCATTGCTATTCCTCCTTCCCGCAGATATTTGACTCTATAGTGATTCCCATGCCTAACGTTGACGGGTCAATCTTCTCTGCTGCTTGTTTTGTAATTTCAATTTCAATTGTTTGGTTCTTATCTTTTTGGTCTTATTATGACGGCACTTTCAGCTACTTTTTTCATTTTAACTGCTCCACTGTATGTACTTACTTCTACGTACTTCCATCACCTCTTTAACTTGATTTTGCACTTCAGTCTTAAGATTTTGAATTACTTCTTCCTGGTACTATCCTACTATTATTTTCTCTTTATCATCCAATCTTGCTTGCAGTAAATGTATTGTATCATATCTAACGCATTTTTGAGAAGAAAAAAAATCATAACTCGAGAATTTAGCTATAACATATTCCTTGGTACACTTTGGGTACATTCAGGCGGCCCCAGCGGCTGAGACTGCTTAGTAAAGCCTAGTCTCCATAGACGCAAAATCGCGAATTTTTTTTGCGGATTTTTTTCCTATTGGTTGGAATGGATATTTAAATGTTAAATGTCAAATGCCAACCTATAGGAAAAAATCCGCAAAAAAAAATTCGCGATCTATAGAGACAGGCTTTACTAAGCAGTCTTAGCCGCTGGGGCCGCCTGAATGTACCCTTCGACTTCTGATAAAGTTAGATCTCCGCAGGTCTCATATAGATAACACTTACAATTTACAATGATCACACAAATCACACATGAAAACTTCTTTTTTCTGATTGAATCACACATCGCATTCCATGCAAAATTCACTCTTACGGTAACGTCGCACTTGGATCGACAGCAAAACGATGTTTACTTTGAATAATTTTTGGGTTGTAACTTTCCAAAACTGGCCACCTTTATTTCCAACACTTTCAAATAACTTGTTGATTACATTCTAATAGTTTTTTTGATTTAATATTCACTAAATTCACGGTTCGTTTGTTCGTTATGATTTTTTCTCACCTAGAACCATACATATGGTCACAGTGTGACAGTAAAATGTATAATGCATTTCAACTGGTTATCCAGTTATCACCGGATACCTACATAAAATGCAAGAAAATCGTTGAAACAAATAAAGACAAACAAACAGAACGGCTTCGAGAGCATTATACATTTTAATAAATGTTCGATTTGATTTGTTTTGTGGAGAACGATTTCAGACACTTTATTTTGATTATACATTTACTTCAC